TCTTGTGACCCTGCCTCTGCCCAGTGAGCTGGAAGGAGTGTTAGTGGCCTGAGCTCATATCTCCATTGGTCCTGCAGGGTGGAGTGAGGTTGGGTCACAGCCTGAATGCTGAATCAGATTACCTTCTTCCTGGGGCACCCCAGGACATGCCAGAGCCAAAGCAGGGACTCCCCTGCCTGCTTCAGGACTGATTTGACAATGTCTGGTTCCCACAGAGTTGCTGAGGGGAAGCTGAGGACACACAGAGTGTTAAGACTATGATAAGAAGGTACATGAAGTTCCCCCAAACTGGAACCAGGCTTGTTGGGACTTTCTGAGGCTGAGAACTCAGAATCCAAACCCTCAGAGATAAAGGGTCCCCCAAACTGTTGCCTCATACCCTGGATCAGAGAAGGGAAGACACAGGCCTGGGTTCTGGACAATGCCCCTTCTCCCGTCAAACCCTGCTGGATACCAAGGAAGGCCCCAAAGTGTGTGCCTAGCAGAACATGCACCCAGCACCAGGCTGTTGAGGGGCCCAGTGCTGAGACCTCTCTTGTACCAGGCCTAACTGCCCAAATCTGGATATATGGCCCAGGGAAGTCCCTTCCCCTCAGAGCTTCTAATCCTAATACAATTGTCCCTCGGCATCCATGGGGTATTGGTTCCAGGACCTCCCTCAGACACCAAAATCCACAGATACTCAAATCCCTGAAGTAACCTACACACAGCCTCCTATATACTTTAAATCATCCTAGAGTCCTTATAATACCTAATACAATGCAAATACTATGTAAATAGAAAAAAGCCTGGATATGTTCAGTAGAAATGCAAAATTTTTCAAATATTTTCAATTCAGAATTGGTTGAATCCATGGATGCAGAATGCACAGATCCTGAGGGAGGGCTGACTACAATTACAGCAGGTCTCAGGCTACACAGGGTGCTAGGAGGGATGAAGATGGTGTGAGGTGGGTCAGTGTTGCTGTAGCCCCATCCACAAAGATCCCCAGACCCTCTTCTCTGGCCCAGGGTGGCTGAGCCCCACCCCTAGAATGTGCAGACTTAGGGTAGGCAGATCCACAGGTCTCTGACAAGAAAAAAACTCTATCCTGAGGTCCCTCATCAACCCTATCCTCATTGCCCAGAACACAAGGAGGTGGCAAAGGATTCCAAAATTCCCTTGTGTTGTGCACATGAGGAAACTGAGTCAAGGATAGGGTAGAATCCCATCTATAGTGCTCAGCAGGGGCCTTCCCCCATCATTGTCACATTCTCAGACTCACATTTGCCCATCTCCAGCTCTAACCTGGTCCTGAAGCTGGCAATACCTTTCTAAATGACCTCAAGGAGTACGAAAGAAAAAGCTCAATGGTGCCAAGGGGTCTGGGTCCCTGTGCTGGGCTGCTTAGGTGGGATCCTGGGCAAGCCTTTCCCTCTCTGGACCTCAGTTTGGCCATTAATACCACAGGAGGCAGATAAACATGGCCTCACAGGACGGGGTCCCTCACCTAGAGGCAGGTCCCAGTCAGGGGACTCTATCCCCAGGGTGGGAGACCCTTCCAGAAGCTCCAGTTGAAACAATGTCCCTTCTATAAGGCCTGGGTTGACCTGCAGCCTGGAGTGGCTGGCACAGAGGCACGGCAGAGGGGCAATCGCAGCTCGTGCCAGGACCCTGTCTGATCACCAGCATGCTGGATGGGGAATCACAGGCAGTGTCGTAGCATGGCTTCAGAGTGGGAATGGCCCATCTGTCACCCTAGGGCTTTGGATTCTCATGAGGGGAAGAGCAGGATGTGTTGCCCAAGGGAGGCTGTAAGGATTCAAGGGGACAGGCCCGGGATTGTGGCTGATTGGCAGCAGCTCTGGGGCTGGAGGGTGTTACTGTTGGCTGCTGCTTCCCTAGCAGTACTGCTGGTGAGTAACTCTCATCCTGCCTCCAGGCCCTCCTGGGTGGGACACAGCACACACACGTGTGTGCATACATATTCCATGTGAGCCTCAGTTTGTCAGCCCTGCAGGGGGGCAGTGATCATATCTCTAGCCCTCAGGCAAGGGCCACGTAGAGACTTGGGGCTCAGTTTGCATAGGGTGGGGAGGAGTAGAGGCCTGCCTCTGTACCCTAATTGTGGGCTGGGAAGCCCTGGGACAGATGGCTGGCCAGGCTCCATTAGAGGGGGGCAGACGGACACACACCCCTGTACCCTAGTGCCAAATATAGGCCTCACCTGGGGAGGTGGTCCAAACAGCCTGGCCACCTGGGCCTGGTCAGAGAAGGTCAGATAGGCACCAGTTGCCATGCATATCCCCAGACCCATGCCCCCTCCATGTTCAGTCCCTCCCAGCTTCCACCTCTGGTCAGCAGGGCCTGGATGCCATGTGCCCCTGCAACTCACACTCACCTTCTGCCCCTTGACGAAGCTGAAGCCTTCCAGGCAGAAGGCCAGGAGGCAGAGCAGGAGGAGGCCCCGAGGCCCCACCATAGCTGGTGGTGGCTGGCAGGCACACTGTCCAGGACAGTCGGGCAGCCAGTGGTATGGGGAATGAGCTCTAGGAGGCAAGCACAGGGAAGGCAGGCGGGACGGGGCGGGCAGTTGCCTTAAAAGCAGCCCAGAAGCCCCGCCAGCTCACCCCCACAGGAACCCGTCAGGATTTCCTCCTGCATATCAGCAGCCTGCAGGCGGAAGGGAAGGCGCTGCCACTGACCTCGCATGGACAGCCTGGGCGCTGCTCAGGGCTTCCTGGCCCAGGACCCTCCTAGCATCACAGCCTGGAGACTACCATTAGCCTTGGGACCTGGGGTCTATCAGAGGTTCTGAAGCAAATTCAAATTCAAATATGAGCAACTTCCCACTCCTTTTGTGAGCCCAGTGTATTTGTATTTCATCCAGGGACTCTGTCAGCTCCTGCCTCCACCTTTTCAATTTCAAGGGCACTTACAGGGCTCTGACTCACTGCCAGGCAACATGCTAGCCCACCAGACCCACATGCCCTCTCCTATCCCAGCCCTTCCCCAGCTGGTCCTGCCCAGTGAACCACCCCCCCACCATACCCCCGTGCCCTCTTTCTCCCTGGCCTGCCCTCCACCCAGCAGCCCGCACCATGTGGCTCCTAGTCCAAACCCCTTTCCATGCCGGCCAGCCTCTCATGACTCGCTCCACCAGCTCTGCTCCAGCCACTGGGGCCTCTCCTTAAAAGCTCTCTCTTCTGGCATGTGCTGTTACCCCAGATTGTCACACACTGACTCCTTCTCATAGGTCCAGGCTCAGGTCAAGGACCACCAGCTCAGAGAGCTTCCCTGATCCCAGGCTGCAGGTTGCCCCACACCTGGTCTCACCTGCCAGCCCTGGCCAACAGTGCTGTGTAAGCTAAGTCAGCTCATTTATTATTTAGCTAAGTTATTATTTATTAATTATTTATTAGTTATTAAATTTTAATAACTTAAAATTTAGCTTATAAATAAGCTAAGTTGGTTTAATTATGGTTAATTTTCTATAACCTTCCTGGAGCATCACTTGTGAGAGAGCAGGATGGTGTCTGACTGATACATATAGCAGACTCTCAAGACAGAAAGCTTTCGTTATCCCTTTGCTCCTTCGAGGGAAGCAGGCTCAGAGGGGCTAGGGAATTCATCCAAGACCACTCAGCTAATCAGTGTTTCAGTCCAGTCCCAGGGTTGCTGCCCACAAAGCTGCCACCACCACACTGCACAGCCTCCCCAGTAGGTGCAGTGAACTCAGGCTGGGTCACTGCTCCCCAATGACAGATGGTGTATGGGAGTTGGAGAGAGCAAAGAGCTGATAGGCTAGGTTCGGTGGCTCACACTTGTAATCCTAGCATGCCAGGAGGATCCCTTGAGCTCAGGAGTTTGAGGCCAGGCTGAGCAAGAGTGAGACCCTGTCTCTAAAAATTAACTAGCTGGCATGTGGTGGGCCAGCTACTCCAGAAGCTTGAGTACCAACCAACTACTCCAGAGGCTTGAGTCAGAGAGCTTGAGGTTGCTGTGAGCTATGATGACACCACGGGGCACTCTACCCAAGGTGACAGTGAGATTTCTGTCTTTGTCTCAAACCCCGCCCCCCCAAAACCAACTGACAGCCAGGTGGCCATTTTTATGGGCCTGCTGGTTGGGGATGCTGGTAACCAGCCCTTCCTCCTCCTCCTCAGCATGCCCCCATTTCCATCAGCTTGGGGGGCCATTGGGCTGGCCTTTGAGGTCTGGTGGGAAGGGGGGTTGCAAGTAAGGAGACCCTCTTCTTGGTGACTCCTTCCACCCCTTTTCCTCCCCTTAACTCTTACCTTTCCTGAGGGTGGTGGTATCCTCCAGGCCAGGATCCCTGCTCTGCTGGCACTGACATGAAATGGGGAGCAGAAGCAGGCCTGGGAGCCAAGTTGGCCATTCTGCACTTAACCCTCTACTACCTGCCTGGTCCAGGGGCCCCAAGACTCCTAATTGGGTCAGGAGAGGCAAGTGGGGCTCAGGGGCCTTGCTTTGGAGTAGAAACGGGGGTTGGAAGGTTGGGGCAGAGGAGCCAGCATGCACCCTCCTCTCCACTGTCCACTGCCACCTCTGCCATTCACAGGCCATCTTGGTAAGACCTCCTGTTCATCCCAACAGCTATCCTAGACTCCAGGCCTCACCATTAAATTATATGAAGCTTCAGTTGGGGATGGGCCCAGGGGTGACGCTTGAGGCTTGCAGGACCTGAGAAGGCTAGCATGCCATGCACCCAGGCAGAGGGCCTAGTGCATCTGGGTGGCCTGATGAGTTTTACACTCTTCCTGTTTGTCCCAGGCTCATGGTTTAATTTTCGGTCAGTATGGCCCTGTCCAGAGGTCCCCTGGCCCTTCCCCACATCCCAAAGCATCTGGGCCCTAGAGGGGCAAATACAAATACAAATACACTTCCTCTCCCCTAACACTTGGCCATGTCTCAGGGAATCCTCCCTCCCTAATGCCAACCATAACCTTGGCTGAAGCTCTACTGCAATCCCAGTGACCCCAGAAATAGAAGACCCCAGACTGTGTTAAACTCTGCTTTATTGGAATAGAGAATATAGGCAACAGGAATCACACTTGGTGCTGGCAGCTCTAGGTCCCCTGCCCCCACCCCTCTTAGCCCCAAGGCCTGGGGGACTCCTGTGGGGCTCTCCACTAGTCTGCACCAGGGGAGGCCTCCACTTTGAAAAACCACATGGGGCGGGGGCTTCCAACGTGTACATTGCTACCAGCTGCAGGATTAGCAGCAAAATGCCCACAATGACAGCCACAGCAACAGCAACAGCAACAAAGGACTGGACTTGACACTTCAGGAGAGAACATGTGAAGGAGTGAATCAGACCCACAGTGTCACGGTTAACAATGGTCCCACAACAATCAGACAACACTGGTGTACCCAGCCACACTACTCTAGGGTACAACACCCACGAGAGGCTGTCAGCACATGGACAGCCCTGGAGGGGGCTTTCTCACTCCCAGCATTAGAATTAATTGAACATCCATGTTCACACTCTCTGTGAGAACAAATTAAGGTACCAAAGGGGAGGAGAAAATATTTTTAAGAGAAAAAAGCCTGTTCCCTGCCCTGTGGCGCCAGGCTGGACACAGCAGGTGGCAAAGGTGGCTGTGCCTTGGGCTAGCCGGTAAGCTCAACGGGCAGCTCCCGGCCACACAGAGCCTCCCACTGGCGGGCCAACAGTGAGATGAGCTTCTCTCGGCTCTCAGCGCTGGGGACAAATATCTGCCACTGGACTTCACGGCCCTGGCCAGCCCCAGCTGGGCCACCGGGCACCTCCCCAAAGTGGTCCAGGGTGACATTGCCCATGAGGTCATGACCCTGCACATCATCAAAGACAAGGGTGAGGGCCTGAGGGTAGGTCTGGTAGCCCATGAGCACTCGGTCCAGGTCCCGGACGCGGCGGCCATCATCTAGCCGGTACCTGTCTCTCTGTGGCGGCTCTTTGGCAAACTCGGGCAGCGGGTAGTGGATGTAGTCCTCATCCAGGAGAAAAATCTCAGCACTGGTGAGCAGTAATGTCTTGGGGCGCAGTGGGCCCCTGCAGCGCCCAGGTGGTGGTGTGGACACCTGGAAGGCTTGCACATACAGCAGGATGCTGAGGGCTGGGGCCTTCTCTGGGTCAGCCATCTTCTGGGCCACAATGAAGGTTAGGTCCCCAATCTCCTCCTCACTGGGGTAGGTGAACTTGACACGGCTTGAGTGGATCAGCTCATAGTTCTCCATCTTTCCTGCAGAGAGATGCCACAGAGTTGTAGCCTGGAACTGGCTCCTGTGCAACTGGAAGCCAGTGGCCCCAAGCCACATAGAGACCCTGGTATGAGTGAGGCAGGACAGGGTGCTCTGAGTCCCCATGCTCAGGCACAAACCAGGAGCCCAGAGTAGACATGGACTTGTGTCTGTCAGGTGGTTGAGGGATTGCTGGGAGCGAGACTACTGTGAAAAGCCCCATATAAAACCCTGACCAGCTAAGTAGGAAAACAGAGAGACAGAAGCAGAGAGGCACTCAGGGCCATGGGCCACGATGGCTGCCCAGGTGGCTTGTCTACAACCTGAGCTGGACAGGGGTACCTGTGGTCTTGTTCCCAAACTCAGAGTAGAAATCCTTGTCAACAGGCTCAGGTGAGGGCGTGCGTTCCAGCGAGGACAACACGACCATGAGATGCTGGAGAAAGCAGTGCGTCAGGTAGCTGTCCCGCGTCAAGCACGTGACCACCTGTGCTGGGGAGGAGCCTAAAGAAGAAGGGGCTGGTCATGGTCATAGGCTTCTCCAGAGCCATATCTAATCCCTAGTAAGTCTCAGCCCGGACCTGAAGCCCAGAAAGCCAGGGCCAGGAGGACCCACTGGCCCAGGGCCCTGGGAAAGCATCACAGGGCCCGGGAAGGCAGCCATTTCTCATGCCAGAAGGGCTGGGGTATTTTTCTGGAAAGGGATGCAGAAGAGCTGTAGGAAAAGAGCTTAGCTTTCTCTCTTCAGGAAGTATGAGTCAGAAACATCCTGCCCCTGAGCCTCGGGCCCACACTGCCTCTGTCCAGGCTGGTGCTCACTGCACAGCCCGCCTCCCGCCCTCCCACTGCGGGCCCTGGGGCACAAATTCTGTACTCTCAGCAGTTCCTGAGGCTGCTTCCTCCCGCCCTGGCTGGCTGGCTCTTGAGCAGAGAGATAACTTTGCTGATGATAACGCACCCACACATGGAAGGTAGAAGCCCACCAGTGACCCTGGCCTTCACCCGCAATAGGAGAAAGCACAGGGGATCACTTACCCGTCAGTCGGAAATACTGGTCAAAAAGCCCAACGTTGACTGACTGCAGGTCACTGAGTTTTAGAACAAAGCACTGGGAGATGTGGAAGGGACTATTGTTGTAGTCGGTGTTTTTCTGATGCCAGAAATCTGTGATGGAGAGAAAGGGACCCAGTGTGGTGGTGACTGTAGCAGGGGAGCACACAGGTCCCAGGTGTGCAGCACACCTAACAGAACAGGTCCACTGGCCTGGCCTGTTGAGGCCTGGCGAGGAGTCACAAATGCCCCTGTACACCAGACCATTGGCTAAGGCTCCCATGGAGGCTCCAAGACGCAGAAGCTGCTCAATCCCTCTTCATTACAGACAATTCCCAAGTGCTGGGTCCTGGTTCGGTACATTTGCACTGGCCTTAGGTACTTTCTGATCACCCCAGGAGGGAGGTGCTGTTATCCCCTTCCTTGGACAAGGGACTCTTGGCCCACCACAGCCAACTCACTGCTGCCTGGGGCCAGACAGTTGGCTCCAGACACAGTCCTAGGCTGCCCTGAGCACGTGCCCCAAGCTCCTGAGTACTAGCAGACCGTAGCACCTACCCTGCAGTGGCTCCGAGAAGTAGCGGCGGAGGCCATCATGTAGCACAAAGTACACAGCCTTGGTGGAGAGCAGCACACAGGCGGTCACCTCTAGCCCTGGGGTCTGGTAGAATACCACTGAAGACCACATGAGGTGCCTTAGTTCCTCGTTTTCAACCTGGAGACAGATGGGCTGGGTTTGGGCCTGCGGGATGGTGGGGCTGGGGGTGGGTGGGGCATGCATGCTCTGTTCTCCTGGACTATGCCAGACTCCTGAGCAGGGCAGCTGTCCCAACATTACTCTGTCTCTACCACCACCCAGGTGATCTGTACATCCCAGAAGCATGCCCATGGCCTTAGTTGGGGAGACCTGAGAAGTTCATCTCATCAAAGTATCTATATACTCAGAAGCAGAAAGGAGGTGAGAGGTGGGAGATGGGTGTGGGTAGGGTCTGCCTGGAGCTGCAGGTTGCAGGTGGGAGGTAGGGGCAGAGGACAGCTGGCTGGGGTGTGGTAGGGGGCAGCTCAAGGCTTCCCTTCCCAGGTCCTCAAAGCTGTGAGCAGCTAAGCTGAGGGCCACATGACATCAGAGAAGTCCAGAGACCTGAGGCTGACCTGAAGGTCAGTTTCCCTCAGTACTGACTGGTGCTGCAGCCAGCACTCACACACACCCAGGCCACTACCTCAGCGATGCTGCTGTGGAAGAGTTCGATGATGGCACTCCCTGGGAGGCTGGCAATATGCCGAAGGGACGGGCAGGCAGGCAGGTGTGAGGGGATCTGGTTCTCTTCTGAGGTGGACTGGATCAGATGCTTGCTTGGGTACTGGGTGGGGACCTCAGCTTGTGCCTGGGCCTCTGCTGGGGCTGGAGCTGAAGTCTCCACTGGTGCTTCTTCTGGGACCAAAGATGGAGCTGAAGCCTCCGCTGGTGCTGGGGCTGAGGCATCTGTTGAAGCTGGAGTCTTTGCTGGGCTTGGGTCCAGGGCTAGAGCTGGGACTTCAGCTGGAGCTGGGACTTCTGCTGGGGCTGGGGCTGGGGCCGGAGCCTCAGCTGGGGCCTCCTGGGAATGCTGGTCATTGCTGTATTTCCCACCCCCCCAAAAAAACCCCACCATATTAACAAGTGGAGTCCAAATGGAAACTCACATGGCACATGCAGCCTCAGATACTGAGGGGCCTGTGCACACTACACACCACCTAGGGGTCACCTGGGGCTTCACCACCAGCTTCTCTAAAGAAGGACAAAATGGCAGGGGGAGAGTGCCCAGGCCCTTCCCTATGAAGGGAGATGCACAGAAGAGGGTAAAGCAGGCCAGGCACATGTAGCATAGGCTTTCTGGGCTGAAAACTAATTTTAAGAAGGTAGCAGGTATCAGAAATGTGACTTATAGAGTCCAAAGAACTAACTGAGCTGCCCAGGGCTGGGCCAGGGTACATGTAGAGGTGAGAACCCAAATCCCAAACTGCCTCTCCATTTGCCTCAGGTGGCCCAGACTCTTGGCCCACCCAGCCACGGAAGCATATGGCCACACCAAAGCACGTGGTCCATTCCAGACATGAGACCAAATAATGCTCAGAACCTTGGCTCGGC